GGTTGCATTTTTGAGTTATGGTGACTTAAGTATAGATTTTGAGTTGAATTTGAGTTATAATTTGAGTTGAAGTTGTAACTTGAGTTTGTGTTTGGATGTGCACATTTGAGTTATGATTTGAATTGAGAATCTATTTGAGTTTGTGTTTGAGTGGGTCAAAACTTAAATTTGTATTTATATAGTATTTTAATAAAAACTCAATGGTGATGAAAAATTTTAATATGGTATATGGGTGGAGTTTTATTCATCTTTTCGTTGTAAACGCATAGAAAAATAAATCATCTCAATCGAAATTAAAATGAAAAAGTTATGACGTTTTTAAAAATAGAAAAAATATTGTTCATTAACTTGAGTTTGAGTTTAAGAACTTCAGTTGAAAGGGAAACTAAACGCAATTTTAAAATCGATTTCAGAATGATTTTCAAAACAATCTCATTTTTACTTTTTATTGAAAACTAAATCATTTTGAAATCAATTCTAAATGCACATACATGTCTGTCGCTCCCCATAAACATCTTGTTAAGTTGTGCAACTTACTTAGGGGTTGTTCTTTTACATTTTTGAGTTATGGTGATTTGAGTGATGATTTTGAGTTATAACTTGAGTTAAAGTGTAACTTGAGTTTGTATTTGATGTGCACATTTGAGTTATGATTTAAATTGAGAATCTTTTTGAGTTTGTGTTTGAGTGGGTCAAAACTTAAATTTGTATTTATATAGTATTTTAATAAAAACTCAATGGTGATGAAAAATTTTAATAGGGTATATGGGTGGGGTTTTATTCGTCTTTTCGTTGTGAATGCATAGAAAAAAAAATCATCTCAATCAGAATTAAAACGAAAAAGCTATGGCATTTTTAAGAATAGAAAAAATATTGTTCATCAATTTGAGTTCGAGTTTCTGAACTCAAGTTGAAGGGAAAACTTGAACTCGAGTTTAGCCCCAAACTCGAGTTTAAATTCGAGTTCAAACTCAAATTTTACAAAAGAACATAAACTTAAATAAAATTGTAACTCGAATTTAAACTTTTTCTGAGTTTTATTATAAAAGAACAACCCTTTATTGTCTTATACGTTGTATTCGTAGATCGATTAAGAATGAAGAGGTGTGTGATTCTCTTACAAACTTTTTTCAATCATAATAAATTATTGTAGCGACTGAAAAATTATGGAGTCTCATATTAACGCAATTCTTTTTAATTTTATACATCTTTGTTTTTTGTTGGATTTCTATTATGAAGTTTCATATTAACGCGATTCTTTATAAATTTTTACGTTTTTGTTTTTTTGTTTGATTTCTTTCTGCGATTTTATTTATGTTTTTATGTAAACTTTGCATCTAATTCTTAACGCATTTTCAACAAAATATCACGTAGTTATGTACACCCCCATTTCTTGATAGCCCACTATCCATTACATACTTTGTGAACCATAAGTATATTACGTAATAAGTTTGAAAAAATAGAAAATTTATCTTTAAAAGTGTATGAGTCTAGACTTTTATTCTTTATTTTTAATAAATATTTTTTTGTTAGTATAATTATTTTACTAAAAAGATTATGAATCAAAAGTAAAGGATAAAAATCATAACTCGTGTATTTTCAATAAGTATTTGTTAAGATTACCCAATAAGTTTTGTAAATTTTATGAGCTATAAATTTATATAACAAATAAGTTTGTTGTTAAGTTTACGATATTTACATATTGCTGCAAATGTGTAACACTTGTTAATGTTACTATCATTCTAATTATGTTGTTCTTTTGAACTTTGCAATTTCTTTACACAATTTACTCTCATTGATCAAAAACAAAAAAAAAAAAAGAGAAGAAAATTGTGGATTTGGTCCTTTATCTGAAAACGAGTTCATCAAGATGGTAAAAAAGTTATGTTCTAAAAAATCTAAATGGTTTCTCATTTGCCATGTCTGTGTTCCTTTACTTAGTCATTTATTTAATTATGATGCTCTGTTTTAATCTTTTCTAGCAGCAAAGGTGTATGATGTTTGCTCTTTTATTTATTTATTTTGAACCCTATCAAATTCAATTGCATGAAGTTTGGACTCTTAAGATTTGGAGGCTGAACATTTGTGGCTTCAACATCATCTCGCTGTCGGGCAATGCTCATCGAACAAACAAATGTCATTTTTCCAACCAGAAGTGTTCTTAGTAACACGGTTAATTAATATAAATGATGTTCCAAGTTGCAAGGTTAAGGACCTTTTAGGTTCTTACGTTGGTTAATGAAATAAAAAATTTGGTGTTTAAGTGTGCTTTAACTCGAAAGACTCGTGGTGTTGAAACTATTACGGACATACTTTTGTTACTTAAACTTCCCATGCAGGTGTTCTTTACAAGAAAACATTGATTTTTTTGGGATATAGAGGCAAATGACCCTTTTTAAGGGTTTTTTTTTTTTTTAAACTAGTCGAAGTTTTGTAAAATTAGTAAAATAGTTATTTTTTTTAATCAAGTAGTCAATCACTGATTGATTAGCGGTCGATCACTGATTAACTCAATAATTTTTTATTATTAATCAATATTAGTTCATAATTAATTAAAATCAATTAGTAATTAATTAATTTCAATCGATTTTATTAATGATAAATCATTATAAATAATAATGAATAGGTCATTCACTGATTGACCGTCGGTCATCATTGATTGATTACTAAAAAAAGGTCATTTTGTAAAAGTAAAAAAGTTCAGCCATTTATAAAAAAAAAAAATGCAATAAAAAAGGCCATTTATATGATTTTCTCGATTTTTTTAATTATTATTTTCTTTTTTTTTTTAAAGAAAGAATGCTGCCTTGCTATGCAGGTGTTCCTTAGAAGAAAACAATTATTTAATTTGCTTGTGATAAGAGCGGAAAATATATTACGAAAAAAAAATGAGAGTGCAAAGAATAAGACAGATAGGGATTTGTCAATGTCTTTTTTAATAAGAGGGAAGAAATTAGACACCATGTACACTGCACAATCATCCAGCCACAGTATTGGAGACTATATGTTCAAATGCTTCTCCTATATTGTTTTTTCTCACAAAAATTTTAATTTTAATTCAAACCATCTAATTTCATCTCATCTCATGAACCAAACGAGCTCTCATTTGAATGGAGATAAGTCAAGGAGATTGTTATCCAAAACTTTAGTTCAATTAATTATCAAGAAAAAAAAAAGTTCTATTGAGATTTGAGGGTGCATATTGAAATATTTGTATCGTATGACAATGAGGCTGAGAAAGCGGGAACATCGCAAAGGGAACTACTGAAAGTGTAGTAATTAATGACAAGCATTGTGGTACAAAAGTAATAACAGGTATCTTGAAAGTTGTGGCATATCGACCGAGGCTTAAGGCTTAGTTTGGTATTGATTTTCTCCCAAAATCAATTTCCACTTATGGTAAAAATTGATTTTAATGTTTAGTAAATCTTCTACTAAGTATTTTTTGAAGAATTTTTAAAAAATTTACAGTCAAAATTAAAAACAACCTAAAAGTAACTTTGGGTGAGTTTGAAATTCGTTCTAAAATAATTTTATTTTTTGTATGAAAATGAAAATAAAAACGTTTTCATTTTTATTTTGAAATTATTTTTGAAAATGCGTTTGGTAGTTTTATTCCGAGATTAATTTCAATTTAAAAAAAATTGAAATTGTGTTTGGTGGTTTAATTTTAAAAACATATAATAATATTTAAAATTAAAATATATTAAATAAATAATATTATTAAATATATTAAATATTTTTCGCCCCATTGAAAATGCGTTTGGTAGTTTTATTCCGAGATTAATTTCAATTTAAAAAAAATTGAAATTGTGTTTGGTGGTTTAATTTTAAAAACATATAATAATATTTAAAATTAAAATATATTAAATAAATAATATTATTAAATATATTAAATATTTTTCACCCCAAATTCATGCTACTTTTCACTCCCCAGATTCAACCTTTTTACACATCTCTCTCTCTCTCTCTCTAAATCTGCAAAACAAAAACAGTCCCTACCAAATCCTTCGCCATTACTGCAAACTCCCTTCTCTCTCTCCCTCTCTCTCACAAATTGGGGAGTCCACGCTACTAACTACAATACAATGCCCACTACATTATCGTGGCTCCTGTCATTTTTAGTCTTATTGTCCTTCGAATCCATTGTCGTTTCCCCTTCTCCTCCGCGAAGGATCCTCCACCAGCCATACGGCCCCCTCGATTCCCTCCCTCCCTCGGAACCTCCGTTGCTGCCTCCCAACCCTAACCCTAACCCAAAAACGTTTACAGAAAAGATGAAAAGGAACGAAGGGAGGGCAGTCGGAGAAGAGGGAGAAGAACGAAGGGAGAAAATGAAGGGAGAAAGGAAAATGAAAACGGATTTAATCCATTTTCAAAAAAAAAGTGAGTTTTTAGGAAAACGTTTTTATTTTTAATTTTGGTACGGATTCTTCCCAAACGTGTTTTCTTTTCTCGTTTCAATTTTTTTCTCAGAAAACGTAAAAAACGTTTTTAAAAATGAAAACAAATGGGCCCTTTAATTTGTAAATTGTACGGAAATCAACATAATACAATTAATAAAATTTTTATAATACTTCTAATCAAATTTAAAATTTACAATCTTCTCAATTTAAAATTCAGACTCGTAATATAATATAATAATATAATATAATAGTAATATTAATAATAAATATATATTATATTATACTTATATATAATATAATATAATCTTAATTTTTAATTATTTACAGCAATTCAACTTTATAATTTATCAAACGTTATTATACTAATTTTAAAACCAGCACATCTATTATAATTATAGTTTACTAAATACTCAACTGCTTTTTATAATAGCTACTTTTTCTTTCAATCTAACTAAAAATAATTTTTTTCAAAATCTACAGCAATATCAAATTAAGCCTAATCGTATCTTTTGCCATGACAAAACACTTAAATGACTACCAAAAAAAACACACACTAATTTGAATTTTGGGCTGCTTTCGCATTCCACATGCATGAGAGGAAAGGAAATTATGAATTGAAGAGTATCAATTGATAGTTCGATAGTATACTGGAACGACAAATCGACATCTGAGTGACTCCCAAGTCTCAAGTATGACAAGTCATTCAGAGTATGAAACCGGAGGAATAGCATTTACATCAAACAAACATTGGATAAGCAACCGTAACGGTGAAGTGTTGTAAGGTAATAGATTCTTGATAAACTAAAAGAACATTGTTGATATGTACAAACTACAAACACCACTTCAAAAAAAAAAAAATGTGCATCTCAACGAGAAGATCCTGTTCTACTCTACCCACCAATATGATCGCAATAAAATTGCTTCAAAACCTGAACTACAAGGAAAACCCAACTTGAAGAACCATTTGAACAAACAATCTTTCTTATACGTTCAAACTATGAAGAGAATTTGAAAGATCACCTCAGACCCTCTTGAAGAAAGAAAGAATGTTGCCTTGCTTGGAATCCTTGTTTCCTGTTTTCTTGTTTCCAGCTTTGCCTGTTGGATTTGATGGAGCGGTGTTTCCCACTGCTGGTGACTTCTTGGCTGCAGGAGGCCTGGATTCATAAACCCAGCTTAAGAGTCAATTCAAATGCATAAGCAAATATTTCAGAAAGGGAAAACCATTGCCATAACGGGCTTAGTACAAATCAAATAGAAAAGTTCATAATTAACAATATGAATGGCACAGCTTTTCCCCATTGATAAGAAGGCGCAGCTTTTTTTACATATAAGAAATAAGGTTTCAATTAAGTCAGAGAAACTGTACAAATGGTCGCAGGGATAAGATATCCACTTGAGACTAAGAGGATCAGCATTTAACGCGAACACATTCCCTAGGTGCCCGAATAATCATACAAGAACGAAAAGCAACGGTCAAAAGTAAAGATACAGCTGGATGATATATGGCAACTGATTCACATGCCATTCCAGCAATTTCCCCTAAAGCTTTTACCAAAAAGAATCACACCACTAAAACCGATACAGAAAAGTTGTCTATATTTGGTTTAACCACCCACCCAATATAAGATGGAGTGAGAAAGTTGGACAAGTAGTGGCAGAGACTGATGTTCATAACTCCTCACGATGCAAAAAAATGCATTGAAAAGGTTTAAACAAGTAAATAAATAGAAAAAAAAAAAAAAATATATATATATATATAGGAACGTTTCTTTTCCTAAAAGAATCCAAGTTTATCGATTTTGATTTAAGGAAACTGGAGAAAGAAGGGGAAAACAAAAACAAAAAAAAAAACAAAAAAAAAGCACACTGCGAATTGTGGAACAGCAATGCAGAGCGATTTCCACATATTGGTGATAGTATCCTCGTTAGAATGAATTGAAATAGAAACATTTTAAAATTAACGAAATGTACAGTTTACCTGTTAATATTATTGGTACTTGTATTACTCTCAATTTTCTTTCTTGTGTTGCTGTCAGCTTTTTCTTCCGTCCCATTGGTAGCTTTCTTTGCTTCTGTATCCTCACCCTCCCAAATCACCTCAGTCACTGTTGAAACAACACATTATATTATTATTATATTCCGCTCAGATGATACTTGAACATTGCACCTACAAAAAGTGCATATACAAATGTCCGTTCCCCTTAAGATTTACTCCCTCCCTCCCTCCCTCCCTCTCGCATGCTGATTCTTTTTTACAAAACCTAATCAACAAAAAAGGTTAATGTCTACTGCTTACACTGCTTACTTTGTGAAAAAATGCAACTGAAAACGCATATAAACAAATAACAAGAAAACATTATACTGTTAGAACAAGAATAATAACAAGAATGATGCAAGATTACGACAATAATGAGATGATTTTGGAATTAATAAAAAAAAAAAAGTTAATATTGAACAGTATAAATTTAGTTAGATTCTGACACATCTTTGAGCATTAGTTCATTATAATGATAACAAGACTTTTTGGAAACCGAGGCGTCTAGAGCAGTTTACCTTCTCTTCCACGCTCATCAATCTGTGTCTTTAGAACCTTTCTTCTTTTAGGTGACTCTGGAGTAGTCTTGGTAAGCTTGTCCCTTTTGTTCACATCATTTTCTTGAACAGAGCATAGTGCCTTCTCTTTCGGAGAAGTCCCTGTGATCTTGTCATTAATGATAGCTGAAGCATCATTTTTCATTAGTTTAGTAGAGCCTTTATCTATTGTCACCTTTTCCTTGACCTCTGATTTATCATCCTCCCGCTTGTCGAGTTTTGCATTTGATTTCTCCGGAACCAAAGAGTTGATACTTTCTTTTCCTTTTGGATCCGGACCTGCTTCCGGTGATGATAAACTGACTGCATTTTCATATTCATCATCATCTGAGAAATAGAGAACCACCCTTCTTTTCCTAGTGCTCTCCCCGTTGGATGCTCTCTTAAAATTTTTATCTTGACCATCATCATCACTGCTGGCACCCTCCACATTTACAGCTTCTCGAGCACAAATCTGAGCCTCTGCACTAGCTCCTAAAAGGCAAAATATCAGAGGAAAAAGGTTAGCAGAAAACACGATAATTGATCATAAAAACAATGTGCCACTGCCTCTAAGATAAATCAAGTGAAGGTTTATATTCATATGCAACTTATATTTTATGGTCAAGCAGCCAAAAACAAAAAACTGCATAGCATAGACCCAAATGTACCAACCAGAACTAGTTTCAGCTGGACAGCTGGCCTTAGTCTTTGCAGATGCACGGCTCCAAAAATTTGCCAGTGAACCTTCTGTACCAGAAGAGCCTTTACCATTTTGGACTTTCTTTTTGTTGGCAGCCATGGAGGGGACCTTTTCTTTATTTGTAGGAGCTTGGTTAACCGGATCTTGGAGTCCTGTATTTTCACTTTTGACATCTTTTACTAAATTGGGAGACGGAAAACCAACTTTAGAACTATACTTCTCTCCTTTCTGTTGCAGAGATTGGGGAGCTGCAATCTTTTGACTTGTCAAACCACTTTTAGATAGACCTACGCCTACTCCACTTTGAAACTGTGCTGCTGAAACACTTGATGGAGTTCCCTCCACATTACGCTTGATAAAGGAATTGGAAATGGCACAGAACCTGAAAAATATGGCACTAAGCATATACTTGCACAAAAGCAAATTTATTGATAGATATGCTATATGATAAAATCAAGGAATATGGGTACAGTTCTTGAAAGAAAATACAAGGGTAAAATCACCCAGTTGAGATAACAGTATCGATTTAACTTTTGGAATGATTATGTTTAAATGACAAAGCCAGAACATATGTTATTTTTTATATGTAGAAAAAGAAAAAGCCATTAACCAATATAAATTCCTAATTCCAGGAATCACCAAATGGTTACATTTATTATGATAATTTTTTTTAAATTAAGAGTGTATGTATGTTCTTGTATATATGCATGTGCGTACGTAATTCCTTTTTTTTTTTTTCAGAAGTTAACTCAGTCTACTAATAAGAAAACATCATCGTATGAAAAAATAAAATAAAATAAAAAATATCTAAACGTGTTCACCAAACTTTAAAAGAAAACTAAGGCCTTATCAAAGAGCTACAGTGTTGTAAAAAGTGTTTTCCTTGAACTGTAACTACAACCAATTCAACTTCATTTACTGCAAAATACACAAATGAACTTCATACTTCCAGAAGTTATCAAATGAAGAGGCAACATATATACCTGTTATCTCTCAGGCAATTGTCAATCGTTGAAGGCTGCTTAAAGAGCTCTTCTGCTTGTACAAATTCAACATTCCAAAGTACAGCTGGATCCTTTGGTATGCAAGCTTGCACGCTATAAACCTGAACTGAGCAGCTGCCATCAAATTCTTGTTTTGCTTCTGCATAAAATTCAGGAGAAAAGAGTCCAACACTATTCCTCTTTCCAAATGATAGAGAACAATGAAAGACTGCCACGTACACCACATAAATGCACACACACACACATGATAATCAAAATTTTCAAAATTCAATAACGATGTTTCCTGAAAAGGTAAACTACTTAGTTGCTTAAGAAGTTAAAAAGGGATACATTTGGGGCCATATAATCAAGGAAGTGAAAGAAACCCATCTGATTCTCCTTAACAAGATCATTGAAGGATAGGTCAACACAACATTTCAGAGAAGAAAATACATGAAGTTAAAAATGAATCATCACGTGGCTTCATTAATCTACTCTCTCTAATGCACATAAATCGGAAACGATATTACCATAAACCTGTACCAGGTAAAATATTACAGCAATAATACCTTCAAGTTTTGTCCCTGTAACGAGTCTTATATGATAGCTTGGAGAGTCACCCTTCAACCAGCCAGACAACGCATACACCACTTCAAATCCATTTCCATGCTTTTCAACAAATTCTTGGAGCAGCCTACAGAAGAAGAAATCATATTTATATTGTATATATTGATTAACATGGAGTTGAAAGATGCTTTTGCGAGTTTAAATAACAAAACTTACCTCTTTGCAGAATTTGATGACAGCAAGTAATTGCGACTCAGCCATTTGTAAGAAACCTGACCAAGTAGAGAAGTTGGTAAAACATATGCAGTTCCAAATGATTCTTTCATTTTGGGATGTAAAGGGGTAAGCGTTGAGGACAGAGTACTCTATATCCAAAGCCAGAAGTTGAATACAAAACAAAGACCAGTATTCATTTTTTTTCCCTTTCTTTTTACTCACTAAAGTACAAGAATGACTAACTGGATGTATCCAAGGTAGAACATCTCAGCAGATCGAGATATCATTGAAATGGTTGTACTTTTGTTCAAATACAGCTTTATCGCAAACAAAATGTAAACTTGATATATATATATATATATATATGTATGTATGTATGTATGTATGTATCTGTGTGTGTGTGTCTAGTTAAGAAGCTCAAATATAGACGTTGTGCCGAGCATACAGCTCAGTAACCGGTAACGTCATGCATTCTTCAACTTGATATTTGTCAAAAAAAAAAAACCTTCTATTAAAAAAAAAAGCCGGAAATTTTGTCAATCAAATTAGGCAAAGAAAAACTATTTTCTTCAATTACCAACTATTAAAAAAAACGATTTCCCCATTCTAAATTACGCAGCTAAATGTCCTATGTCATATGTCAATCGAAAAATTAAACTGTAATTATCACCGACAAAAAGATCAAATAGAGCTCAGTTATTGTCTCTACTTGCTCAATTTTTCTTATTTCAGCCATACACATTAGAATCCCCCAAAACAAGAGGAAAATTCTTTTTTTTTTTTACAGACAATTCAAGATCGATTTTTTTTTCCTCTTCGTATACGGATAATTCAAAAGGGTAGTTGATACAACCGACAAGGAAACACGTGTTTCAAAAAAGAAAAAGGATCGCAGGGCAAAACCTAAAACAGCACGATAAACTACGAAATCAAATGAAATCAAAGAAAACTTGAGAGAGTAAAATTCACGGGACAACTAAGATTGGGGCGAAAATTGAGAGGGGAAAAATCAGGAAACACAGAGAGAGAGAGAGAGATTGGTACCACTTGAAGCCGATCAGAGACGAGGGATTCGATGTCCTGAAGTATGCCTAGGGTTTCAATTTGAGCCATTGAGAGAGAGATAGAGAAAGAAAGACAGAAGGTGAGAGAAATGAATGAGATTGGTTGTGTTTCCCTCCAAATTCCCAATCCTTTTTACTCCCTTTGCCGCCCTCCATGTAATTCTTCCCCCTCTCTCTCATTTTGTTTCTTTTTTAGAAATAAGATTTCGGCACAAATGATTTTTTTTTACCATATTTTTTTATAAATAGTTGAAGTTTTATAAAATTATAAAAATAGTCATTTTTATTAATTTAGTGGTCAATTATTAATTAGTTCAGTAGTTAATTATTGATTGACTTAACGGTCAATCGTGATTAACTCTAATTTATCACTGATTGATTTGATTATTCTTTATTATTAATCAATATTAATTAATAATTAATCAAAATCAACTAATAATTAATCAATTTCAATTAATAAATTATGTATTTATTAATGATAAATTATTAATAAATTAATAATGAATCAATCAATTATAATTAATTGTAGGTCAGTCACTAATTTATTGTGGTCTATATGTCAATCACTGATTGACTCATGTAAACAAAACGATCATTCTCATAAAATAAAATAAAAATTCGGCTATTTATGAAATTTAGTGGTTAAAAAAGGCCACCCAACATAATTTCCCTTTAAAAATTTTGACATTTTCATGCTCTAGATTTTTTGAGGTTATTTATCAACGGGCTATTCGCTATTTACATAAATGCCGACTATGAATACCTTATTTTAAAAAATGCTTACTTTTTTGTTTATTTATAAAAATATCTATTGTCATATATATATATTTGCCCGTTCACTTTGCTGATTCGAGTTTGTAATTCGAGTTGAGATGTGATTTTATGTGAGAACTTTTTACTGTAACAAAAAAGTTAGATGTGATTGTTTGTGAGAGTTTTTTACTGTAGTAAAACTCGAATTCTAAACTCGAATTGGTGAAGTGAACGGGGCCTTAAAGACAATTTATATCCTCGTACAACAAAAAAAAAAAAAAAAAGTGATTAACGAACCTAATAGGTAAGAATATAGAAACAAATATTGCAAAATCAGAAAATAAAACAAAATCCAACACCAGTATATTAGACACAATCAGCATTTAACGAAAATATGATCCTTTTAAACAAAAAGAAATTTTCTTTAACGGAAAAAAGGAAAGTCCCGAAACTTTAAAACAGAGGCTGTTTATTTTTCCAAAAAATAAAAACGAGAAACAACCCATGAAATTTATTCTAAACCAGTCTTTAAATTCTTATTAAAAATAGTCATCATTATGAAAATGAACCTCGAATATTAAATTACACATGAAACACGGAAGTATATAAGATACCAAAAATAAATATTCATTATTTTCATGATAAAATTACTATGAAAAGAATGCATAACAATCCATTGTAAAATAAAATATACGATAGAAAAAAAAAAGCAAAAAAATAAACAAAATCAACCAAAACGAGCGTTTCAACCAAAATGCTCGTTTTGGTTGAAAGCAACATTAACTGAATAGTGCCTTTTGAAATTTAAATATATAGTTAGATGAGAGAATTTTACCTTTATTTAAATTAAAATAGTTTGAATTGACGAATTTACGGGGTTATGAATCAAAATTTTGGCCAAATAACTCCATTTCAACAGGGTTTCAAATTTAAATTCAATGTCTTACCAAACGCTCATTTGGACTGGGCTTCATTCATACTGAAAAATAAGAAATAATAGGAAATAGGTCAATATGAAAAGTTTAAGAAAGTATATATGCCAATTTTTAGTTATAGAAATTAATAGGTCATAACTTGTCAAGTTATGGTTCATAACCAGATAAGTTATGGACAAACTTGTTAAGTTATGGTTAATAAGCAGATAAGTTATGGACAAACTTGTCAAGTTATGGTTCATAACCAGATAAGTTATGGACAATAACTTGTCAACTTATGGTTCATAACCAGACAAATTATTGACGAAAATAATAATTTGGCCTATTTATTAATTTATGTAAACTATTGATCTATTAATTTTAATTCATCTCAAGTCTTGGCCTATTTCTCTCTTTCTCCCCTAAAAAATTGATTGAAATACACGCAACCTCTAGACAAATTAAGCAATGGTTTAAGGCCACACTTTTAAGGTCTCAAAATTTTTTCTAAAAATCAGCCTATATTTTACTCAGTATCATATTTCAAAAATTAAATTTCATTTCTCTCATAAAAAAAAGTAAATTCCATGAGAGATGAAAATTTTAAAGTAAATTAAATAATAATCAATAATAATTATTTAATCATCCATTTACTATATATTCATGATAACAACATAATATAGAAACCCTAGAGTGCCATCTCTCTAAAATATCACTTCAAGTATAAATGAGATATTTGTATATCACAAATCTATGTACATAGCATAATCCTGAACAAATAACCATGGCTCTGATACCAATTGTTGGAAAATAATAGCATCGAGTGCGCAGGGGAATTTTAAAAAATTTAAATCAATGCCAAAGTAAATCAAAAACATGTTCATGATGCTATATAACACAAATACTAAATATCTAAATCATACCTTTTGAGATTTAGGAAACTGCACGTCTAACAGATCAAAGCGTTCCAAACAGCAACTGGAAGAGCCTCAACCAACTGGTCTTTTTTGTTATTCTCGTTTCCACGATCGGAGAGCGGGTGGGCACACGTCGGTCAACCTCCTCTTGGTATTCTTGATCTCCTTCCAATCACAAGAGAGCCAAAGAAAAAATTATTCTTGAGAATTAAACAAATTTTCCTCTCAGGAATATTTTGTCAATAGCCTCCAAAAAGTCTCTTAAGTGATCTAATAAATAAAGTTACTTAATAGGCTATTTATAGTGTTTAGGAAGTCATACTTCCGTAATAATTAGGTTTCCCAAAGTTCTAATCGCATCCAAAGTCGATTTTGCCACGTCAACATGCATTTTACGTTACAACCGGTCGACCGGTCTATACTGACGACACTTGTTTTCTTAGTTTTTCAACACAGGAAACTTGCATAGAGCCTCAATTTTGATTCAAGCAACCCAATAGAGAAGTTACCTGATCAAAATAGTCATATAATAGTCTTCCCATATTAAAAACTCTTAAAACAATAATTCAACCAACTTATCTAGAATTAATTTATTAATTAATTCACCCGATAAATCACTCATGAATTAATCAATCTCATATTAACTTTGAACCTCTTTTACGGAAATAACACAAGTTACCAATATGTAGGAAATACGCCGTATCGTTACAGGAAATTATGTGAGCTAGCAAAGGGACCCGATGGACATATATAAATCAAGCTCCTATAATCACAACACTACTTGTAAACCAACAAGTCCGTCTTATGATTATAAAACTCTAGCGCTATTCCACTAAAAGCCTAGAGCTGGACTCTCGATTTATATAGCGTATTTACAAAGCTCTGATTAGCTATAGTTCATGACTCAATATATTAGTGTATCATCCCCATAGGATATCCATAATCGACTTGAGGTCAAGTTCCGTTTTACCTTCCCGATTACATTTATCTTATGTTCCATTATCAAACCATCAGAAAAACACTATTCGTACCATTACAAACAGTAAACCATTAAATAACACAGAGTAGTCTAATAGCCGAGCGCTCATATTTTCCAATCCACTGATAATGCATAAGAGGATATCATTGACTCTTTATAAGAGCTATGGATTCCACTATCTATGAATAACAAATCTACGCATACACGAGTCATACCGCCAATGTACCGGCAAGCGTACCTTTACATAATGTCAGGATGTCTCCCTTTAGTACATCAAAGGATACAAGTCAAGCATA